GGTACAGAGGAAATAACTAGCATAGAGCTAATGAATGATCGTGTCATTATTAGAAAACAAGGGGTTTTCTTGATCCATGAATACCATTTTTAGCAAGAATGAAAAATACTTTCATCTTCATTTCCTCTTCAAGTAAGCTAGAGTATGAAGAGATTGCATTTGCTGGAGGAGATAGTCAACAGTTGTATTCTTTAGGATGCCCCATTTTCTCTGTCATGCCTTTGGAAACTTCTCTAGCCAGGATATTAAGTTCAGTTTGAATTGCTCAGATCTATTGCCGGAATTATTATAGTCTAGACTCTGAAACCCCCCTCCATGCTGCAGTTATTTTCTTGATGATAACAAGTTCTTTGATGGTACCACTTACATTTTTCTGTGCCCTTTCTTTTGGCACAAAAATGTGAAACACAGTAAGAGACATAAGTACTTTTCTTTAACAAATGATCTTCAGATGCTGAAAGTGTTACTAGCCAAAAATGAACAGCTACTTTATCCTAGGGAACTTGTAATTCAAAAGAATATAAATCAATATCAAGTTCATTGAACAATACCATTCATTGTATTTAGTGTTTTCTGTGTGCTGTGATACAATCAGTAAATCAACAGTTGAAGCACTCCCCTTAAGAAGTGTAGGCCCTTAAGGGGGGCGTTCCGGTCCGTCCTTCATGCCCTACCGAGGCCACCAGTTGCCACCCACGAGTGGCTCTCCAGCACGGCCACAGCCCCAGAAACACAAGGATTTAATGCAGAACCCAGCAGCTTGGAGCAGAAAAGTGAACGGACTATGCATTAATCCAGGCCATCATGTCTGCCCGGAGGGGAAAGGGTGTTGCTCCATTCGCCTTCTCCTCTCTGGAAAGAAAGATGGCGGCCACATGGGAGCCTTGTGGACAGCAGGCATGAGCCGGGGGAGTGGGGGCGACTAAAACCTCATGGGAAGGGGGGCGTTCCGGTCCGTCCTTCACGCCCTACCGAGGCCACCAGTTGCCACCCACGAGTGGCTCTCCAGCACGGCCACAGCCCCAGAAGCACAAGGACTTAATGCAGAACCCAGCAGCTTGGAGCAGAAAAGTGAAAGGACTATGCGTTAATCCAGGCCATCAAGTCTGCCAGAGGGGAAAGGGTGTTACCCCATTTGCCCTCTCTTCTCTGGAAAGAAGGATGGTGGCCGCATGGGAGCCTTGTGGACAGCAGGTATGAGCCGGGGGTGTGGGGGCGACTAAAACCTCATGGGAATGGGGGCGTTCCAGTCCGTCCTTCAAGCCCTACCGAGGTCACCAGTTGCCCCCCACGAGCGGCTCTCCAGCACAGCCATGGCCCCAGAAGCACAAGGACTTAATGCAGAACCCGGCAGCTTGGAGCAGAAAAGTGAACGGACTATGTGTTAATCCAGGCCATCATATCTGTCCGGAGGGGAAAGGGTGTTGCCCCAGTCGCCTTCTCCTCTCTGGAAAGAAAGATGGCGGCCGCATGGGAGCCTTGTGGACAGCAGGTATGAGCCGGGGGAGTGGGGGTGACTAAAACCTCATGGGTCGGGGGGCGTTTCGGTCCGCCCTTCATGCCCTACCGAGGCCACCAGTTGCCCCCCACGAGCGGCTCTCCAGCACGGCCACGACTCCAGAGCACAGAAACCAATTTCTTAACTATCTGACTTTCAGTAGAAATACTTCCAGGGTCAATAAGTAAAATAGCAGAAATCCAAAACCAACATTTATTTCTTGAACCCAGCTGTAGAAAGCAAATCACTTCACAATGCTTTTTCAGCATGTCTGATTTGCGGGGGGGGGGGGGGGGGGGGTAAACTCTAAATAATAGTGGTGAATCTTTTATTGAAACAATGAATCTAATCAAAGCAGATAGAGTGTTAACTAGAATTCATCTGCCCCACAGGGACTGGGAGGGGTGGGGGGTGGGGTTTTATTGGGGTTCTTCATGGTAAAAAATAAGTATTGGTAAAGAGAAATGTGTTTGATATTTGCATGACTGAGACCTAAACCTGAAAGCTTTGTAACCTTTCCCACGGTGATTCAATAAATAAATTAAAAAAAAAAAAAAGAAGTGTAGGCCCAGGGGCTGGAGCACTGCGGGTAGGGAGTTTGTCTTGCACACAGCCGACCCGGATTCGATTCTCAGCATCCCGTATGGTCCCCCCGAGCACCATCAAGAGTAATTCCTGAGTGCATGAGCCAGGAGTAACCCCTGTGCATCGTCAGGTGTGACCCAAAAAGAAAAAAAAAAAAGAAGTGTAGGCTCTAGTAATTTGAGAATGATACATGGAATGGTGACATACTGTTTAAACAGTGAACATGAGAGAAGTTTCTTATTAAAATTTAAATACTTATAATATAGAAATTCTGAAATCCCCCTCTGCAGTACAGATGATCAGATCTGATCTCATGCTGATTCCTGATCAGTGAATCCTTGAGTCTGCTCAAGTAGTGTGTAGATTAAATTTATATTAACATCATTCATATAGTGAGAATCAACTTAGTACAAATGAGCACCACAAAAGCAGGTATATTGTTAAGCAATATGTAAGAAGCTGAGAATGTTACCTTCAGAGGTTTTATGAATTTAATTATCCCTTTGCAGAAGAGGATTAACCTGCATGTTTTTTAACTTTTTTTTTTTTGTATCCAGCATGAGATAGACCATTACAAAGCCGTTCATGATTGGATTTCAATCATACAGTATTCCAACACCCATCCATCCACCAGTGTACATTTCCCAGCACCAGTGTCCCAAGATTCCCTCCCATCACCCCCCACCTCCACCCCTGCCTACCTCTATGGCAGGTGCTTCTCTCTCTCTCTCTCTCTCTCTCTCTCTCTCTCTCTCTCTCTCTCTCTCTCTCTCTCTCTCTCTTTCTCTCTCTCTCCTTTTGGGCATTGTGGTTTGCAATATTGATACTGAAATAACCTGGCAGCTTTTACTACCTCTACTCCCCCTACCACCCTTCCCTTTGTGGTTGGGTTCACACACACTAGGTTACGGTGCGCAAGAGAATTTATGCCAGATGCTCTGCGCATCACAATATCAGTGACCCTTGTGATTGCACTCAGTGGTGGGGGCAATGCTGAGGATCCAACTCAAAACTTCAAGCGTGCCAGCAAGAGCTCTCCCACTGAACCACATTCAGGGACTCTAACTGTGTCTATTTGTTAAAAAAAAAAAAAAAAGGCTGCTTCAAAGGCTGGTCCATGGGAACTGGGTTTTCAAGAGAGTTCCCACCATGAGCTGATATAAGCACCCCATTCTTCCTGAACTGTTTGTAGAAACAATATAATTTTTGCAAACCCCTGCATTCCTTCTGGGAATCAGAAATTTGGGTATGTTCCAGGCAAGGGGATGCCTGCATGGTCAGCTGCAGATGAAAACAGATGAAAAGAACCTGAGCTGATGTGTCTCTGATGAGCTTCTCTAATTGGCGACCTTTCTCACAATGTATCGCAACTTGTTGCTTGAAGAACTGGCGTGTGACTGGAGGGAGAAGAATCCCCCAAAGCATGCCTTTGGTTGAGCCCGGCAGCCTTTTCTCTTTGCTTGTCTTACAGTTGCAGCCTTTCACTGTTAGAGTTGATGGTTGTGAATATGACTTAGGCTGAGTCCCATGAGATCTTTTTACAGATGACAAAGACTAAAGGCCCTCGAGGGGAATCCTGTAGTCCAGTTTTGAGGAGATGCATGGTGATGCTTGGAGTGGGGGCCACTCTGCTTGGTCCCGTGTGTGCTGTGCAGAAGATAGAATGCAGGACACTTGCAGACAGAGCAATGTGCTCCAGCCCTCTAAGCTTTCTCCTCCATCTTTTTTTTTTCTTTTCCTTTTCTTTTTTTTTTATTAGTGAAACACCTTGAGGTACAGTTATAGACTTACACATTTTTGTGCTTGGGTTTTAGTTACTCCACCAGTGCCCATCCTCCACCACCATGGGTCCCAGCATTCCTCCCACCGCCCCCGTCCCCCCATCCCACCCTGCCTCTGTGGCAGGGCATTCCCTTTTGTTCTCTCTCTCCTTTTGGGTCCTGTGGTTTGCAAGAGAGGCATTGAGTGGCAATCATGTTTGGTCTATAGTCTACTTTCAGCATGCTTCTCCCATCCTGGGAGAATCCTCCCAACACCCTTCCCTTTATTTGGTGCTCCCTTCTCTATCTGAGCTTTATTTTTCCCTAGCATAAGGGGCTGGCCTCCAAGTCATGGAGCAAAATTCCTGGTACTAATCTCGGCCACTTCTGGGTGTTAGTCTCCCATTTTGTTACTTTATGTTCCCCAGATGAATGCAATCTTTCTGTGTCTATCCCGTTCTTTCTGACTCATTTCTCTTAACATGATACTTTCCATGTAGTACCACTTGTATGTAAATTTCATGACTTCATCTTTTCTAACAGCTACATAGTACTCCATTGTGTAAGTGTGCCAGAGTTTCTTTAACCAGTCATCTATTCTTGGGCACTCAGGTTTTTTCCAGATTCTGGCTATTATAAAGAGTGCTGCAATGAACAAACAAGTGCAGATGTCACTTCGACTATAATCTCCTCCATCTTTTAAGGGTTTCTTTCAGGGCTGGAGAGATAGCACAGTGGATAGGGTGTTTGCCTTGCATGAGGCTGACCTGGTCAGCTCAGGTTTGATTCCTCTGCCCCTCTCAGAGAGCCCGGCAAGCTACCGAGAGTATCTCGCCCACGCGGCAAAGCCTGGCAAGCTACTCATGACGTATTCGATATACCGAACACAGTAACAACAAGTCTCACAACGGAGACGTTACTGGGCCCGCTCGAGCAAATTGATGAACGACAGGAGGACACTTCTATAAAAAATTGTTAATATATATAATCAATTGCAACCCAACTCACTGCCGTGGATTTAAATGCACATCTTAATCCTCTGACAGCATGCTGCCTGGTGCGGTCAGCAGGTGTAAAAGGTCAAACCCCACTGTATTGGATGACACTCAAAACAACATTCCCCAACAGTAAATACAATTTCAAAGTACTGTTTTCTTGTGTTGGCTTAGGTATCACATATATACATATCAGAATGATAAAAAAGAACAGCATTCCCCTGTTCAAAGAGGACACTCATATTTGTGAAGTGCTCCAAATTTTTTTTAAAATGCTATTTTCTTTGCTTTTTTTCAACTTTTTGGGTCATACCCAGCGATGCTCAGGGGTTACTCCTGGCTCTGCACTCAGGAATTACACCTGGTGGTGCTCAGGGGGACCTTATGGGATGCTGGGGATCAAACCTGGGCTGGCCACGTGCAAAGCAAATGCCCTACGCGCTGTGCTATCACTGACACAAATGCTATTTTCTTATTCATGTTTTTAATGTCCATGGAGCGACAGCACAGCGGTAGGGTGTTTGCCTTGCATGTGACTGGCCTGGCCGAGCCAGGTTCAATTTCTCCGCCCCTCTCGGAGAGCCCGGCAAGCTCCCGAGAGTACCTCGACTGCAATGCAAAGCCTAACAGGCTACCTGTGATGTATTCGATTTGCCAAACACAATAACAAGTCTCAAAATGGAGACATTACTGGGCCTGCTCGAGCAAATCAATGAACAGGAGAACAGTGCTACTACTACTACTAAACTTCTTCTCTGCTTTTGTTGTATGCTTCATTTCCTAACATTTCAAAACTTTTCTGATGAGCCCTACAAAGAAGAAACTTTTCAGAGATGCCACAGGGCAGAAAGCACTGCCCAGGGGATGTTGGGAGCACATAAGCCATTTGGTTGGCCCTGAGCATGTCAAGCATGCATCTCAAGGGAGGAACCAGGCTCCCAAACATACTGAACCTACCCCAAAGGCCTACAAGACTCCTTCTGGACATACTAGACAATTTCTGCAAGAGAGAAAGGCTCAGGAGAGGTTTATATGAACAGGTGATGTGAGCATAGCTTTGGAAGGAGATTCTGGATGAAGAGGCGGGACAGGACTTTGGGACTCTCTTCCTGAGTGATAAACCTATTCTGCAAGCGGGGAGAGGAGGCCTTGGGAGTTTGGGGAACAAGGAGGAAAACTGTGGCAATGATCGCTAGTTTCTCATGCCTGTAAATAAACTTGATTATTTTGCCTTCTTTCCATACCAGACCATGTGGAATATCTTAACTGAAATATTTGGGGTTTGCTTGATGAGCTGAACAGCAATCTACCTCCTACTGGAAACTACAAGCCCATTAGTACATTTTTCAATTTGGGAATTGTTTGTTTTTGCAAAAGTTTACATTTGAGACAAGTGTTTTGACACTTGAACCACATTTTCCCACAGAACTGTTATTACAAACAGTGGTTAATTCCCAGGCCAGCCCAATGAAGCTCCTTAAATTCTAAGAAGCAAACAATAGATGTTTGTAATGTAAATAGTGTAAAACTATATTAAGAAAAACACTTGAGAGGCTGGAGTGATAGTCAAGTGGGCAGGACATATTTGCCTCACACAGGGCTGACTGGGCTAATACCACAGCATCCCACAAGGTTCCCCCGAGCACCACCGGGAGTGATTCCTGAGTGCAGAAGCAGGAGTAACCTCTGAGCATCACCAAGTGTGCTTCCCTCCTTGTCCCCCCCACCCAAAAAAAAAAGACACTTGTCTTTTATTTCAAAGGATAAACTTAAACATTTACATTTACTCTAAGCCAACTGCCACTCACAGGGCTGAAGGCAGAGGTTCACTTTGGGCCTCTATGCACGCAACCTAAAATGGAAAATGGAGAGAGGGAGAGAGTGGAAGACCCTGAGGTGAGTGGGAGATGCAGAGACCCTCTGCAGGGTTGGGGAAGGCAAACACAGATTTCCCTACAGTCCAAAAGCAGAGCAACCCTGGGAAACCTTTCACAAGTGCAAATGACAGAGTGAAAACATCATCACAATTGATTCCTATGGAAAAATCTTTGAATGTTCCCAGATTCAAAGAGTCGCCTATCAAATAACAGAGAAAAATAAAAACCGACACCAACATAAATTTCCAGCATAGAGGATCAGAAAAAGGACAGTTAAGAGAAGAGGATAGTGACTTACCACAATGAAGCCAATCAGAATGGCCCCTCTGATCTCTGTCCAGCAGGGTCCGTGGTCACAGTGAGACAGACTTTGGGGCAGGTCCAGTAGCAAGCTAGCCTCACTGCAGGGAGCAGGGAGACAGGCTACTGGTCATTTAACACCCTAAAGCCCTGATTTCCTGACGAATGAACCATTGTTTAACAGGCACATTAAGAAGAGTTTTAGTAGTTTTTGGTATTTCATAGAATAGATAAACCAAATTTATTCCACTGTTCCTTACTGACAAGTATTCCTATTTCTCTTATTTTGCATCTTGCCCTAGAAATACATTTATATATGTGTGTCCTGTGTCATTCAGGTCTGTGTTCACTTGCTGTGATGATAAACACTAAAGTTCTCCCCTGCATTTCGTAGTAAAGCTTCTTTCTAGCTCTCATCACTCACTCAAATGCAAGGTGGGCTGTTGAGAAAGTCTGACTCCAGGAGTGATTCAGGAATCCATACACTCTCTTTATCTTAGAGTGCAGCATTTCCAGCAGTTAGGATGCGAGAGTACTTGGTTAATGGCAGAGAACAATTTATGAAAAAAGACAGAATGTACTTAACTGCGTGGTTGTGGTTTTTTGTGCTTCTGTAATGCTGGGGGTCAAAGCCAGGAACTCACACGCAAGGCAAGTGTTGGGCTGCTGAGGCATCTTCCCAGCCCCTCCGTGGATGCTCCATCTTTTCCAAAACTATTGACCCTCTCTCCATTCCTCCGTTCCTTCCTTCCTTCCTTCCTTTCTGTTTGTTTCTGGGCCATGCCCAGCAGTGCTGAGGACTTACACCTGGATTTTCTCTGGGGCTCACTCCTTGAGGTGCTCAGGGATACACTGTGCCAAGGATAGAGTCGAGGTTAGCCATGTGCTATGTGGTCTGCTGTTTTCCCAATTTGAAGTTAAAATATCCTCTAAAAATTCTCATTTTAGGGGCCAGAGCAATAGAACAGCGGGTAGGGCATTTGTTTCGCATGCGGCCGACCTGAGTTCAATCTCCGGCATCTCATATGGTTCCCCAAGCACCGCCAGGAGTAATTCTTGAGTGCAGTACCAGGAGTAACCCCTGAGCATCACTGGGTGTGACCCAGAAAGAAAAAAAAAATCTTATTTTACCTTTCATATTTAAGTCAATTCATTTGGCATTTACCTTAGTATACATCTGTTTCTACTAGTAAACAACCATTTCCCACCCACCCATCTTCTCAGTTCCAAAGGGCATGAACTATTTTTAGAACATCTAGTCTAGATGGGTGATCTGTTTATTCCTAAGCAACACCATATAGAGATAATTGCTGTGGCTGTATAGAAAATACTTCTATTATTTCAATTTTTTTTTTTTTTGCTTTTTGGGTCACACCCGGCGATGCACAAGGGGTACTCCTGGTTTTGCACTCAGGAATTACTCCTGGCAGTGCTCAGGGGACCATATGGGATGCTGGGAATCAAACCTGGGTTGGCCCCGTGCAAGGCAAACACCGTATGCACTGTTCTATCACTCCAGCCCTATTATTTCATTTTTGTTCTTCCCAGCTTCATGTTCAGAGATTGCTCCCTGCAGTTCTCAAGGACTGTATTGTAAAATCTTATCACGCCAAAGGTTGTATGTTCACGGGCTCACTGGACGGCACTGTTTCACCACCTGCGTTCGGTGCTCTTGAGCCACTGTGTGTGGCCTGGATCGGAACGGCTGTTGGCCAAGGGCAGACGGAAGAAAAAACGGGGGCCAGGCCGGTCTATATCAATAGTAGTTTATTCCAATCCTCTTCACTTCTGTCTTTCTCTGCCTCCTTCTCTCCTGGGCCCCAGTCTTGGAACCTCTCTCCTTCTGGCTCTGACTCTGGATCTCTGGAGTCCGAGCTCTCTCACTTCTCACCCCTTTTCCGAGCTTACGTCTTAGTTTATATAGCAGTCACATAAGGCGGTGACATAAAGGTGGGTTGAATACTGACGAATCAACAAAGAGAGGTAAGACCACTCCTCCAGGAGATTAACTCAAGGGTAAAATCTCATCTACAGAGATTACTTCAGATTACTAGGAGATCCATCCAAGGGTGGGATCCCAACAAGGGTGTGTTCTTCCTTCAGTTAGTAATCTACTTAAATAGTTGTAATAAATCTACTTCTAATATTTCTAGCAATGTAATTCTGTATGAGCACAGTAAGAGATATAAATTTAGTTTGGTTCTTCCTGAGAACATCTCACTATACATTTCGCAGTCCTCAGGCCAGGTTAATCTTCCTAGCTCCAGCAGGGTCCTAGTCTCGTCGGTATACTTACTTTTGGATCATGACAGCATTTGTCCATGATCATGCCCTCAACTTATAGTTGAGTATCGTGGTTCTTTGGCCTGGCCCATTTCGATGCCAGGGTAGCTCACTGCTTGCCCTGGGTCCATTCAGTCCCTCGTCGGGACCCTGCTTTTGGGGTGCTAGGAACTAAGGGCAACTGAGTCAAGAAATCAGATGCCCAGGAGTAAATATTATTCGGAGTCAATCAACTCCCAAGTTACAAAGCATAATATTAACTGTCTTCCTGTGTCCACACAGAAAGGACATTGCTTACAATACAAGTTCAGTGTTCTTAGATGGGTGTGACCTGACAAACCTAAGCTACCTGAGGAAGGACAAAAGAGTGTTATCCTACACTGTATTATCCTGGGTAATCTAAGTTGGGGAAGCTGTATGTAAAGCAAGCACCTTAACCCCTAGATTTCCAGCCCTGCATTAAAAAAAAAAATTGGAGGGCCATGCCTAACAGTGCTCAGGGCTTACTCCTCGCTCTGTGCTTATAGATCACCCTAGGTGGAACTCAAAGAACCATATAAGGTACAGGGGATCAAACCCAGGTCAACCATGTGCAAGCAAGCATCCTATTATCTGTAACTATTACCCCTGCCCCTATATAAATTTAGTTTGTATTTGGGTCACACCTGGAGATGCTCAGGGGTTATTCCTGGCACTGCACTCAGTAATTACTCCTGGTAGTGCTTGGGGGACCAGCTAAACTTAGGGACGGAATCCAGGTCAGATGTGTGCAAGGCAAGCACCCTACCCCCTGTACTATCTCTCCAGCCTCTAAAACGGCCAACATTTTTTGTTGCTCTTGTTTTGGGGCCATACCTGGCAATGCTTAGGGGTCTCTCCTGGCTCTGCACTCAGGTATTATTCCTGGTGGCACTCAGGGGATCATATGAGATGCCAGGGATCAAACCCAGGTCAGCAGCACCTAAGGCAAATGCAGGGTCCAGGTTTGATACCTAAACTGCCTGGACAGACCTGCCCACCTCCTCCCAAGCAGAGCAGACAAGCCCCCTACTACTGTTAGGTATGATCCCAAAACAAAAACTTTGTTTTTCTTATGGAGAGGGGTTCTCCCTAGCAGTGCTCAGATCTGATGAGTGGAACAGCATGTGACCATTGGGGGTCTAGCATGTGCTCCAGTCCTCTGATCTATGTCCCCAACCACCAAACTTATGATTCTATCTTTATGCATGTATCTGAAGTTCTTCCAAATATTAATAAAAGAAATTGTTTGCTTAATCTAAAACTGCAAAGGTCAAAACTAACTCAAAGACAGCAATCTCTCTTATGACTGCTTTTTTAAATAAGTAAATGTTATGAAATTGTAAAGTAACATGATCCTGATCAAATCCTACCTACTTAACTTGTTACACTTTATATAAAGGGGTAGTATAAGATTTTGCTTGTAAAACGTAGACCATTACTAGTAAGTCTTAAAACTATTGGTTTAAGACAAATTTGTGTTATCATTCAACTGTCTGGTTCAGTTTTGTGATCAGAATTCGCATCCCAGTTTATCCTTTAATCCATTCAATTTAAAGCTAGATAGAGGGACTGGAGCAATAGTACAGCAAGTAGGGTGTCTGCCTTCCACAGAGCCGACCCGGGTTGGATTCCCAGCATCCCATATGGTCCCCCAAACACCTCCAGGAGTAATTCCTGAGTGCAGAGCCAGGAGTAACCCCTGAGCATCGCCGAGTGTGACCCAAAAAGCAAAAAGCAAAAAAAAAGCTATATAGATACCTCAAAGAGTAGAGCTCATACTTGGCAAACAAGAGCCCTGGGTTCAATTCCTGGCACAACATGAACCCCCAAGTACCACCAACTGTTCAATTTAGTGTTTTTTTTTTGTACATTTGCAAAGGTATGCATAAAGGTACCAATAATTCCTGTTGGTCTCATTTTTTTATTAAATAAAAAGGGAGAAACAAAAGCACGGTTTTTATTCAATATACATTAGTCTATCCTTAAGCAGCTGCAGAAAATGAAGTCCATGATTTTACAATGATCGCGGCAATTTACCAACCAAGCAATCAGTTTCACACAGTTTCAATAACTGCAGCTATTTGCTTGAATTGTCTGTAGAAATTCTAGGGGGAAAAGAAAAAAAATAATATTAATTTTGCTTTTAATGATATTTAAGGTATTTTTATATTCTATTTGACCACCAGAAACTATAAAGTTTGCATTTTAATGTAACATTTTCAACTATTACTATCAGAAGTTTTCATGAGAAATAAACAACAGCAGCACACAGTTGTGAGCTCCCATCATAAGCTGGTCTCTCTCTCTCTGTCTCTCTGTCTCTCTGTCTCTCTCCCTCCCTCCCTCACTCCCTCCTTCCCTTTCCCTCCTTATCCCTTTCTTCCTCCCTCTCTCCCTCCCTACCCTTCCTTCTCTCTATCCCTTTCTCTCTCCCACTCTCTCCCTCCTTCTCTATCCCCCCCACTCCCTCCCTTTCCTCTTTTTCACTCTCCTTCCCTCTTTTTCACTCTCCTTACATTTTTCTATTTTTGTACTTCCTTTTTTTTTTTTGGTTGGTTGGTTTTGGGGTCAGACCTGGTGATGCTCAGGGATTACTCCTGACTGTACTCAGGAATCACGCTTGGTGGTGGTTCCCAGGGTCCATATGGGAGGCCAGAAAAAAAAAAAACCCAGATCAGCTGTGTGCAAGGTCCTATGCACTGTACTATCTCTCTGGGCCCACAATTTTAAATTAAAAAAATATATATATTATTATTATTTTTGGTTTGAATTTGTCACCAGCTCTGAAGGAAGCCAAAGGCACCATCCAAATGCAGACACTGAGGCAGTACCCAGAGAAGGATGGGTCCCCGAAAGAGACCAGGTCATACCCTAAGAGCAAAGCCCCAGGTGGGGCAGTTTGGGAAAAGCCCTACTGTACAACTGTTACTAGGCTGGTAGTGGCCAATCTCTGCTGTGCTCATAACTGCAAGATGTTTTCTCTTTCTCTTCACATTTAAACAGAACAAAAACAAACAGAACAGGAGAGATTTGGCCCTGTAACTGAAAAATAATATTGTAGCATCCCTTAGCTCATAATTAAACTTTTGAAAACCATACCCAAAAAAATGCTTTTGTGATGGCACCAGAAAGATTTATTGAACAGTATTTAACGGGCCACATTCTCAATCCTGAAGACTACAGGGCTGGGAGGCCAGAAAGAGGGACCGGGCACATACATTGAGGGTTCTCATCCTGGCTTTAATCCCTGGCATTGTGTGGTCTTCCCAGCATGACCAAGCATAGCCCTGGAGCCTGGGGACACAGGCAGGGTGGCTCTGGGGGCCGCTGGTCTGAAAGGGTCCAAGCAGCACCTTAGCCTCAGGGTCCAGCATTGCACCTCGGGCCTGGTCGATCAAGTCTGTTAGGAGTGGCCGCAGGACCTCCTGAGCACCCTTCCCCCGGGACAGAGTTACAGGTTATTGGGTGGTTGAGTTAATCAACTCATATTATACCCAAATACTGAAGGAGCACCTTGCATAGTTTTAATACAGAATTTTGCCTGTCAAGGAATTGTAAAATAAAGCCGAGGGTGGAAAAGAGTGTAGTTCACAAAAGAAAGTATCATGAGGGGCCTGAGCCATTGTACAGCGGCTGGGGCATTTGCCTTGCACGCAGCTGACCCAGGTTTGATCCCCGGCATTCCATATGGTCCCCAAAGCACCGCCAGGAGTAATTCCTGAGTGCACAGCCAAGGGTAACCCCTGAGCACTGCTGGGGGTGACCCAAAAGAAAAAAAAAAGGGATCACATGGCAGTGCTTGGGGACCATATGGGATGCCGGGGATCGAACACGGGTCGGCTGCGTGCAAGGCAAACGCCCTACCCGCTATGCTATCGCTCTGGCCCCCTCCACCATTCCTTTTGGGCTGGAGCGATAGCATAGCAGTAGGGCCTTTGCCTTGCACGCAGCCAACATGGCCGACCCGAGTTCGATTCCTCCGCCCCTCTCGGAGAGCCCGGCAAGCTACCGAGAGTGTCTCGCCCGCACGGCAGAGCCTGGCAAGCTCCCCGTGACGTATTCGATATGCCAGACACAGTAACAACAAAGTCTCCAATGGAAACGTTACTGGGCCCGCTCAAGTTTTACTTCATAAACATGATTAACTAAAAATTCCTGGTCATCACTGTTCAAAGACTCATTTAACTTATCACTCTTGAACATTAACTTTAAAAGAATATTACAGTTAAATACGAAGTAAAAATTTGGTGGAAAAGAAACCCCAAAAAATGCCCCAAAGGAATCAGAGTAGCAGGAAAGTGATGGAAAGTGGGAGTCCATAAATTCAGCAAATTAGGATAAAGGTGAAATGCCAGATTCTCACAGGAAACACATTCAGTTCTGCTGCAAAATCCAGTAAGTGGAAGGGCTCCAAAGCAAGTGCATCTAAAAGGAGTCTGAGCCCCGAGACATCTCTCACATCTTTAGGCAGCAGCAGTTCCTGAATGCGGAACTCAAATCACCAACCTGGAACTGCGGGACTGTCATTTCAAAGGACTTGCTCTCGACTTTGCCAAAGTGATCTGCCAACTTCAGCATCACAGCCACGTAAGGGTACTTAAGTGATCCGCAGCTGTCTGAGCTGACGGCCATGGCCAGTTTCCACTGGAAATCCACAAGCTGCAAGGCAACAGGGGCAAAAGCACACAGGCGTCAGAGCACGCAGACATTCATTTCACTTCACTGTGTTCACACAGACAACTCTTAGTTTCAGTGACTGCCCTAGTGAAAGGAAATAGTTCCATACTGCCTAGAGAACAAAGGACAACAGCGCACAACAAGGGATATATAGAAAACAGGCTTAGGAAACAGCCACTGCTGAGACTACAAATAGAAAAAGAATAGCAGCAAGACAAAGCGGGGCTGAGGAGGTCACTCAAGGCCTGGAGTGCACATGTGGCAAGGCCAAGGCCCAGGGTTCAATCCCCGGCAGCCCGTGGCCCCCCAGGCACTAATAGGTCCCTAGGGACTCTGTGTGTTACACAATTAAAAACACAAACAAAAAATCGCCACCAGGTATGCGGTCCAAGTAGCAAGAAGGTGTGTCCAAGTAGCAGGCAGGTGTGGCCACGCTGGGGTTTCCCTTCACTTTTGCCCCTGCAACTGATGAGGTTCCAAATGCTTTGGCGAGGGAGGAGGGGGCACCTCTGACCTCACTTTTTAATTTTCTTTTTGGGTTACACCCGGTGATGCACAGGGGTTACTCCTGGCTCTGCACTCAGGAATGACTCCTGGCGGTACTCAGGGGACCATAGGGGATGCTGGGAATCGAACCCAGGGAGGCTATGTTCAAGGCAAATGCCCTACCTGCTGTGCTATCGCTCCAGCCCCTGACCTCACTTTTGTGGGAGTCTGATAGGTGTTTTTTTTCCCCATTCCAGAACCCAAAAGTGCGAAAATGGATGATGTGTTCTTTGTCATAGCCACAGTTGAGCAAGACACCTGGGTGGACAATGAAAGCGGGTGCTGAGAATTTGCAAAGGGTCTGAGTCGGCCACTGGGGGTGGGGGTGGGGGGGATGGGGTGCAGGGCAGTGGAAAGGCAGACACCAGGATCCATCAGTCATTAAGGCCAGGCCCCAAATGTCCACCGAGACAAAACTTCTAGGTTTCTGCTTCAGAGATACCATCTCCAACCATGGAAAAAAAAACTTAAGCAGCTTGACCCTCCAGGCCAAGTGTTTCACTACTTTTATTTTTGTGGAGCTGGGAGTCAACTCCAGGGCCTCAACCCTATGAGGCAAGTACTCTAGGGCTGAACCACATACCTGACATGTGCACACACATGAACACGCACAAACATGTTTACACACACGCACACGCTGCTCATGAGCTGGGCTACATCGCCAGCCTTGCTTTGCTCTTTGAATGTGCAGTTTCCCCTCTGTGTTCTAACTGTATAGAAGCTGGAACCAGCTCTGGGGTGTGGGTGCGGTGGGATGAGTAGTTATGGGGTGAAGAGGGGTTCAAGAAGCAGCAAATCCAACCACTCCATGCTGGCTTCTTCCAAGTGGCGCTTGACCCAAACTCTGAAAATCCAAGGTTGTCCTTTCCGTTCCTCCTCACACATGGAACCATGCCAATTTTTTTCCTTCCCTACAGCCTGAAACCAGCAGAGATATGGAGCCTGAAGGTGGTTTTAGTTGTGTTCAGTATCAGTGAGAGGCCTGCAGGTGATGGTCCCCAATGTCTCCATGCACTAACCGCCTCCTGGAAATACTGTGACAGTGTAGGCTATTGAGTAGATGACAAAACTGGATTTCAGAAGTTGACACAGAGCGCCTGGACAAGGTCACATATTCCAGGCAGAAGCAGTCTGTGTGACTCCAGCAATTACATACTTATCGACTTCCGGCCACCTCAGGAAACTTCTCTCTGGCTCTTGTTGAGGATGGCTCATTGTTGCTATAGCAACAACCAGGGCCGAATAAATGCAGCTCTGAATACTGACTCTGAAACCTAAGGAATTTCCAAAGCATTGGCAAGTGCAGAGTATACAGTAGGCACTTACAAAAACAATCTTGGCCACTGATACCTTTCATACAAATGGCATCAAATGCATGCTGACTGGACAGAAAAAAAGATTTGTTCCTTGATAAATTCCTCCTTGGGATCACTCAAACGACTGGAGTGCATGTTTTCCATGTTAGAGCCCTGGGTTCAATCCCAGAACCACATGGTCCTCTGAGCACTGCAACCCTCACACACTGAGCTGGGAATAGCTCCTGAGCACTACTTAGTATGGCCCTAACACCAAATGAAGAAGGTGGGATTGGCGATGGCCGCTCAATACCTCTATTGCAAACCACAATACCCCAAAGCAGAGAGAGAACAAAAGGGAAAGCCTTTTGTTACAGAGGTGGGGTGGGATGGAGGGGACGGGGCAGGGTGGTGGGAGGGATGCTGGGAACATGGTGGGGGTGGATGGGCACTGGTGGAGGGATGGGTACTCGATCATTGTATGACTGAAATGCAAACATGAAATTTTTTAAGTTTGTAACTGTACCTCACGGTGATTCACTAATTTAAAAAAAAATCATTCCTTAACACTCTTTAAAAAAAAAAGGTGGGATTGGGATTGGGTTGGAGGAATAGTACAGCAGGTAGGGCATTAGCCTTGCATATGGCTGACCTGGGTTCAATCCCCTGCATCCCATATGGCCCCCTGAATACCACCAGAAGTAATTTCTGAGTGCCGAACCAGGAGTAAGCCCTGAGCACCACGAGGTGTGCCCCCCCAAAAGGAACAGTAAATAAATAAAAGAATTGGGGTGACGAAAAAATTTCCTTCTGTTACATAAAGGCTTTGGAGCAATAAGTTATGTTAAAGCCAGGATATTAGTGCTAAACGGTTAACTTTGTTGAATGGAAACAGTACAAAGACACTTTTCATTTTATTGGGGTTGTGAGAGAGAGGTTCCCTGCCATGCTCAGGCTCTGGGGGGTGACTCAGCCTGGTTGCATGCAAGTACCAGTTGCATGCAAGGCAAGTACCTCATTCACTGTCCTATCTCTCCAGCCCCTATAGCTATTTTAAATAGGAGTTGATCAGAGGACGGGAAAGATGGTTCAGCAGACAGGGTACTTGTCTTGCACATGGCTGAACCAGGTTCCATTCCTGGCAACCCAGATGGTCCCCCAAGCCCACCAGGAGTAATACCTGAGTGCAGAGCCAGGAGTAAGTCCTGAGCACTGCAGGGTGTGACTTCACCCCCCCCCGCCCCCGAGCAAAAAAAACTTTATCATATAAAATCAAGGACAATAAATTCAGAAATAAATGACAAATGGCTAATAAATGTGCTACTGAGGAAACAGGGAATTGCCAACTGAAAGAAATCACATTGAAACATGCCCACACACATACATATCAAATGGCAAAACTTGAAGCCTGACAATCCTAAGTGTTAGTAAGGAAGAGTGTGTCACCTGCAGTTGTCAGATGTCTAAATTGGAACAATCTTTGGGAAAACTGGCTTTGCCTATTAAAATTAAATGTATGCATTTTCTACAAGCCAGGAATTGAATTACTAATGGTCTATAAAACCTAAGAAAGTGTGCCTATATAAGCCATGGAAGAGAATGCTCCTAGAAACTGTATGTAATAGGCCTGTAGGTCTTTAAGCAATCCAAATATTCATCAGTAATAAAATGGATAAATAAAATAGTGTACAGTAATGAAGATGAACTCAGCTTCACTCAACACTGATGATGCTGAAAGAAACTGAAAAAAAAGGGGTTATTTCCTTTACTTCAGCTTAGGAAATGGGAGACCGATCCTGTCTGGGGATGCACATACAGAGAGCAAACTGTATAGAGAAGCAAGAACGTGCTTACACAAAAGGATAACCGTGACTTCCAGGGAAGAGAGGAGGAAGCGTGGGAAGAGATATATGACATATATCTCAACTGCTGGTAATGCTCCTTTCCTTTTTTTGGAGGGGATGGGGGGGTTGAGCCACTCCTGGCTGCACTCAAGGCTTACTCCTGGTGGTACTCGAAAATGTTCTGCACTGACGGGATTTGAACTGAGGTTGGTGGTATGCAAGGCAAGTGCCAATGAACTATCTCTCTGGCCCTTACAGGATTGTATTTTTTTGTTTTATTATTGCTTTTAGATCATACCAGGCTGTGCTCAGGGCTAATTCCTGGTTCTGTGCTCAGGGATTCCTTCCTAGCAGTGCTTAGGGGATGATGTGGGGTGTCAGGGATCAAACACGGGTTGGCAGTGTGCAAGGCAACTTGTGCAAGGCAACCATCTTACCTGCTGTGCTATCTCCCCAGCCCTAAAGGTTTAGTTGTTTGCTTGTTTGAATCAGTTCAGTGGTCATATCCAAAATTCCACCTGGACAGTACTTGCACTTATTTAGTCTGTACTCTCCTTGATGCTAGTTCCATTTTTATGGTACATACAAAATGAGAGCAGAAATCATTGTGTCTTTAACTCTCAAAGCATGACACAAAACTGGATTATCTAGGATACTTCGGGCAGAAAAGCAATTAAGAAATACAATATCAGAACCCACTGACCATCACAACACTGAAATGGGCAGGCAGGAAATAGGAGAGTTACAAAGGAATCATTCATTGTGCAGTTGGTATTCAAGGTAAAAGAAAGCTGGAATTGTGCCTGATAGACTTTTCCAAATTTAAAGGTGAACATTTAAATGCAAATTAAAAGCAAATCTCCCAATAAAGTTGGTTAAGCTTAAATAGAAAGTAACTACACAGAATATATTAAAGAGAATTTTTAAAAAGTAGAACACAGAACACTGTATCACTGTAGAAAATATTAAGATTAAAATGATGTAGCCTCAAAATTCTTGCAGAAAATGAAGAAAACAACTCTAAAAGGAAAACATGAAAAGAAACTCGTTAGTAGAAAAGTAAAAACACCCAGAAATAAAAGGAATAATTAAAAAATAGAAAGCAATTATAGACTAAACAGCAAAGAAATGAACTTAGTCACACAAGAGATTAGTTGGTCTGATAGCCAGTTATTTGTTACATAAAACAGACTATAAAGATGTTTAAAATATTTAAAGACTACACATTTAAAAATATTAAAAGACTTTCAGTTTGAAATTAATTTTTATTTTTTAAAACAGGAAAAAAATAGAAAAA